ATTGTGGTGGAGGTTAAGTCAAGAATACTGACTTGACCAAAGTCTGATCATTAGCTTTGTAGTCAAGTTGAGATTTGGATCTGGTCCCAACACTGAAGCCTCTTTACCATGCTGGTTTTCACCAATACAGAAGTCTTAAACTGTTTTGGCATAGTTACTCATTTCATTGTAAGGGATGGCAAACTAGATGAGATGTTGAAAGATTGTGAGTGGATTGTCTGTGGTGTTCTTTCTAAGAGGAAAATGCAGAGGAAAGTCAGATCAGAATGGCAATACTACAGTGGGTGGTAATCCTTTTCAACATGCTTCAAATTCAGTATTTCAGAATTAAATATTTTCCCTTTGAAACTAATATCTGTCTGATGGTGGAAAACATATTTGCACTTTTTTCCACCCTGTGGGGCCAGTTGCAGTTGTGGAAGGGGTGATCTTAAGTTGGGAAATGGTATTGGGTAAGTCCTCCTTCCCCCAGCAGTGCAGCCCTGATCAGTTGGCTCTGTCTCCCTGCTCTTGGCAAAAAACATTTGCTGTCATTTGTGAGAGATGTGATCATGTCTCTTCACATGGTATGAACCCATAGATAGACCCATAGAACGTTTTGTGGTTGCTGTTCAGGAGAAAATTGGTGCTACTGTTTAATATTCTATATGCCTACTTCATCAGACATTAGTAGCTGTGTTTAAGATGGTATATAATGCTGTCATTGTATTCCTTCCCTGTATTTTAAGACCTCCACAAATCTGCATATTGAGGACATAGGCCTTTACTCAGCACTGTTAGAAGCTCCCTTCTCTCCAACAGCGAGAGGAGCAATTTGTCAGGTCACAATGTTGATGCAGGCAAAAGTACTGTAGGAGAGCTGTTGGCTTCTGCCTGATCCAAAGCCCATTGTGGAATGATATGCCCCCATCCAATCTTTAGGGAACATTCCCAGGGATGCTTCCTAAGAACAGCTTTGAGTGAACCAACTCTGTTGGCAAATAAATTTTGAGTTTCCCAAAACTACCCAGGTATGAAATGTAACACTACCAATTGTATTTTGTTTTTCAGTGAGAGTAGCATGTTTGTCTCCAAGAGACGTTTCATTTTGAAGACATGTGGTACCACCCTCTTACTGCAGGCACTGGTTCCCCTGTTAGAGCTTGCTAGAGAGTACTGTGGGTTTGACTCGATTCAGGTAAGATACCCAGAATCTCATCCTTACGTTATAGCTGCACTGAAAGTTTTCTTAATATTTTCTTAAGTGGTGGTGGTTTACATATTTAAAGAAGAGAAGTGTAGAGTGCTAGACCTTGTTTCAGCGTCGTCTCTATGTTTAAAGCTTCAGCAGACATCTTATAAGAAATACATTGATTCCTGGATCCTGCACAAGAATATTCTTCAACATCTCTCACAAACAAATACCAGCAGGATGGCAACCCATATTGCCTTTACACATGCATGTTCCATAAAATAACATTGCCTGTGTTTTTATGTACAAGCAGAAAAAGCTGTGGGAGAGCCAGGCCAACACTAAGGTCAAATTCACCTTCTGGTCAAATGCACGACAAAAAGTTGTTCTGGTTTGGTCAAAGATGGTGCATGATGTTCTTATCCATCAGTATACCATATGGATGCCCTGTAATGTACCCTTCAGTTAAACATGGCTTGCTGGAACGTGCACAGTTCACAACTGTACAACAGATCTATTCTACCCAGTCCCTTGCTTCAAAAGTTAACTTTACGTCTGTGTGATCTTAATCTACAAGTTCTACTAAGGTTCCTGAGCACTATTGTCTGCATGGCCTCTTTTAAAGACCATTTAAGCAGTTGGAAATAATGCACTCATGAAAGTATTTTTCTGTATTTACAAGATTAGTGCGTGGCACAATATCGCCTTGTTGTGTGGCCTAGCTAGTGTTTTGATTGCATGAAAGTCTGCATGAAAACTAAAACAGCTAAAGTGCTTTGTCAGAGAGACTGAGCTACAAGCACACACAGATACTATAAAATAGAGAGTGGCTATGGTTAGTATTATGAGGCAACTGTTGGAAGTGCAGGTAACTTGACTGTTCTTCCTGTTGTCAGGGCCATTTTTGAAAGCTTTTACATTTATTTTCCCCACTCACTGAGGCAAATCTTTTAAACCAGCTTTTTACCCAAGCCACCGTAATGAATACTACATGTAATATGTTTCCTTATCCTTACCCTATCCCTGCCTGGCACTGGGCCTTGAATTGTAGTCGCAGCATGTAAAGAGCACTCTAGGGAGAGGCCCTAGAAACACTCCTCCTGACATCCTGATGGTCATTCTCTCTCACTGCACCTTGGAAATTGGCAAGCATATTGGTAGTGCTTTCCAAAATAATCACTTTGTTAATATACACATCAAAGTGCACTGTAACATACTAAAGCTATTTCAATTTATATGTGCTTATGGGATCTCTGAATAGCACTAATCCACATTAAGAGGAAGCAATACATATTAAGATAGTGTTCTTGGCTATCAAATCAATTCATTGTATCTTGTTTGGGGTAGACATTTGTGTAAGCCTAGGATTTCCAAGCTGCATAATAGTAAAGTAGATTGATGGTGTATCAAAACAGCAAAACCAAATGTTGGTAGCTAAACAGGTAAAACTTTGAAAGGCATTGGTGGGCTACTGAAATTAATACCCAATACTGACAATCAAGGTCATGGCTTCTGTGAGCCCTTATCATTGGACTCTCCTTTATTTGACTCAGTGAAGGGAATAGCTTGGTGTAACAAAAGTGTTACCAGTTCTTCTGGTGACCCCCAACCCCTGCATTATCTATATGCAGTTGCCAATCTGTATTTTAAAGACACCACTTAAAATCTTTCCAGATCATTCTTATGTATTATATGTGACAAAACTGATGTCATGTTTTATTTTTGCAGAGTAGTGCCTTCATCTTTGAGTTGACAATAGATTAAACTGTAGACAAGAAGGAAAAGCCTTGAGCAGAAGCATGTGTTTAAATAATTTCCTTTTGATCCTAATGGAACTTTTAAGAAAAGCTGCATATTTAATTTCACCCCTCTTATTCTTTAGAGCTTCTTTTATTCACGCAAGAATTTCATGAAGCCTTCCCATCAAGAGTACCCACATAGGAATTTCCAGGAAGAAGTAGAGTTCCTTAATGAAATATTTCCAAGTAAGTGAATGTGTATTTTGAATAGGATGCTTGTAAATAATAAACAACTGTCCAAGAGGCTTATGCGCAGTGGGTTGTTGAAACTAGCATGTAAACCAATATAAAATCATGATCATGCTAAAAATGCAGCTTTGCCTTGATTAGAAGTGATAGTCTGAGTTGACCAAAAGATGTCAAGAACTGACTCTTACATTATCTACTCTTATGTAGACTTTCACACCTAGTCAGAATTATGGTATGATAAAAGTAATAGGTTTATACAGTGCACACAGTTTGATGGATGTCCGATATTTTTATGTGTATCCTTGGGTGATAATACCCCCTTGTCTTCTGTTGACCATAAGTTCAGAAAAGGGTAAAAAGAAAACAGTTGCATGGACAAAGAGCTATGTAGTTCTAGCAAATCTAGTAGATTGCTTGGCAGTGAGGCATGGCTGTGTCTCTTTTGCATGGGCAACCAATGCCTATAATAAGTAGTCAGAGCTTAGGAGCTCTGTAAGAAAAGCACAGCGACAAATCTCCAGTGCCAACTAGTAATATACTAATACTTTTCTTTCTTTTTTTGCTGCAAGCCAGTGATGTGGGGTTTCATGCATGCACTGGAAAATTTTCTGATGCCACGGAGTGATCTAATTTAGCATGTTTATTTTAATAAATGAAATAAAAACATTGAAACTGTCAATCTTGCCTAATACTGGAATAGGCATCCTTTTTGTTGTTGTTAATAATGAACTTACAAAATGGAAATATTTACAGGGGTTGGGGAATCAGTTTGCAGTACTAGTTTTCTCCCCACATCAGTGCTACAAACTGATGTATGGTGTGAATTACTCTCATGATGTTATGGAGACACTAATTAGACAATGGAATTAATTTTTAGCTGTACTAAACATTACGTTTCAAAACAAAGATGATAGTCCTTGTTTCTAAGCTCTATTCCTGGTCTTGTTTGCTTTTTACAGATGGAGCAGCTTATTGCATGGGTCGTATGAACTCTGACTGCTGGTAGGTTTACTTTGAATTATTACTTTCATCTTGAGCAGTACAATTTTTACTTTTATGTGCTATATATTATCTTCTCTGATTCTATATCCCCTGTAAACAGGTACTTGTACACTCTGGATTTTCCAGAGAGTCGGGTCATCAATCAGCCAGATCAAACACTGGAAATTCTGATGAGCGAGCTCGATCCAGTAGTTATGGACCAGTTCTACATGAAAGATGGTGTTACTGCAAATGATGTCACTCGTGTAAGTGTGGATTGTCTACTGTGAAGGAGAAGAACAGAGACTAATACAGTTCCTAAATATGTAGGACTTTTGTCCTCACCAGCCCCTCACTTGTAAAGTCGTTAGGCAAATCCTTTCCTGATTGCCAGCCAATTTGTCTGTAAAATAGGAATAATACTCAAAAGGTTTTAAATGCAGGGAGTAGAAAAGTTTCCCCACAATTAAAACATGCTATGCAAGCTTTTAGTTTTAACTAAATTTAAGCACAAGTTATCGTAGTCACTATAAGAAACATTGACTTGTTTTAGGGTTGCCTAGTCAACAATAGAACATTCACTACATCTCTCATCCATATCTCAATGAAGACACCATTTGATCAGCTTAAAACACACATGGTGAAATGTATGCACCTGGAATAGTATTCTCAGCTACTTAACTGGCTTCTCTAGTTAAAACTAGTAAGGTAAATTAACAACCAGACATCTAAAGCCTTGAACTTATTTGAGAGAGGAAGAGAGGAACCATGGGTGAAAAGAACTGATTCATCAGACGTACATTAATCGGTTGAAGCAGTAGTCTACACTGAAGATTAAATATGAGCACGCATTTTAAGACTTTATGTTTATATGATTACTTTTAATTTATCTTTTTAATTTTTATGTACACTGCTTAGAAATGTCAGCTACATAAATAGCTTAAGTAAACAACACTTTCTTGGCTTTAGGTGAGTGGAATTCGTGACCTGATAACAGGTTCTGTCATTGATGCTACAATGTTCAATCCTTGTGGATATTCAATGAATGGGATGAAAACAGATGTGAGTGCCATTTTTTTTATTCTTTGCAATGATAATTCACTTATTAACTGTTGCCATGTTGAGATTTCTAACTTGGTTCCTTTATTTTCTTCTAGGGAACTTATTGGACTATTCACATCACTCCAGAACCAGAGTTCTCATACGTTAGTTTTGAAACCAACATAAGTCAGACATCCTATGATGACTTAATTAGGAAGGTCATAGACATTTTTAAGCCAGGAAAATTTGTGACAACCCTCTTTGTTAATCAGGTACAAACATTTGTATTACTTTCAGTAGGCTAGTTTTGGCAGCCAGATAATCCCAAATGATCCAGCTATCCACAAGCATTACAGAAGTAATTGTATTTGTAATCCAGAAAATGTTTACCTAGTCAGTCTATTACAGCAAAACCAGTTTTGTGGCATCTTACAGCATTTTATTTTTATTATTGCATAAACCATAATAAATTGGAAATGCCATAAATAGCACATAAAAGGCTACTTCCACACAATCAACTTTACTGTTTCCACTACCATTGCCATTCAGTGTTCCCGTCCCCCAATGGCCATAGTTTTTGCATCTTTGTTTTGTTTCTTCAGAAAACACAAATACACTGATTTAAAAAGAAAGAAATGAATAACAGGTGTATTCCGGCTGCAAAAAGGAGACAAAATATGGTTTTGTAATGTTGATGGTCAAGAGAAACAGGACAAGAGCTACTTTAAACCACACCAAATGTTAGAGGACCCTAACTGATTTGAAGGCATCCAAAGCATGTTTTCCAGATTCAAATTGAACTTATAAGTAGTAAACATTCATGCTTTTGCAGAGAGAACTGTAGATTTTTATGGGGCCACCACTTGATTGCAGAAGAGGAAGGCCTTGAGTGTTTCAGTGTCCTCCTGTGAAAAAGAACTATAGACTGAACAGTGTATTGTGATCTAAAGCTGACATGTCCAACGCCTCAATCACAATCGACGGGTAGATTGCTGGATGGATTTTGGTCAATTGCACTATGGCCAGGCAGCCTTTGCTACTTCTTCGCAGCCAGGGCTCTGCTGTGGGAGGGAGCGAGCTGCGCCGTACCGTGAGCTCCGGAGCACATGTCTCTTGCTTTGCTCTGCTAAGGAAGCTGCTCTCGGCTGGGTGGCCCTTGCTGGGTGCTACAGGGCCACACTCGTGCGATGGGGAGAGGGTGCAGCGGTCCGCCTTGGGAGCAAAGGAAAGTGGGGCGTGGGGGTGCCGATGTTTCGCGTTCAGGACGAGGCTGGATAAAAGGAGAGCGCCTTTCCTTCCTCCTCCATACAGAGCGGCCTGTGGCTTAATCAGCTGTAGTCTCCGTTTGGGCAATACGTGGAAGAAGACGATGAAATCAACCATGAATCCGTGCTAAGGAAAGAAAGGGTGTTTTTCTGGCTGCCAACAACGCCTTACCCCTCGCCCCTAAAGCGAAGAAGTTGAAGAATGACAATGGGAGTGTGTGGTAGATCACTGCCCGTTTTATTTACTGGATAGTAGATCACAGCCTACTTGAAGTTGGACATGCCTGATCTAAGGGAAAGGATAGGGGAAGTAAGATATTCTTCAAGCAAGCCTTTGAAGACTAAACAATACAATACATTTTACTGGATTCCATTTTCATTTGTGTTATGCAAATAGTCTAGAATAAAAGATCCAATCATAGAAGATTTAGTACATCAAGATAAACTAAGAGATAAAATTCTGTAATGAACTAGCCATTCCTAGTTTAGGTAGATCCCTAGTCCTAAATATCATCTACATAGGAATTCCAACTTAATATATTTACATTATTAATTTGCTTACTAATTCATTAGTTGCAAGTAAATCATTCCCTTTTTAACTTGCCTCATCTTCCTGCTTTTGTGCATAATAAATCTCTTTGGAGTTACAACAGCCAAGGGATTGTAAAATGTCTGCCCCCTTCAAACTCATGCGCACACATTTTCTCTGTACTTACAATAAATTATGCCTACTCAAAAGGTGTGTCATGTCACCCAACTCTTAAATGGAGCTCTGGCCCATTATGCCATAATTTATTTTTTAAGGTGGCACAAGGCTCTTGGTGAAGGGACGCGGGTGGCGCTGTGGGTTAAACCACAGAGCCTAGGACTTGCCAATCAGAAGGTCGGCGGTTCGAATCCCCGCAACGGGGTGAGCTCCCGTTGCTCGGTTCCAGCTCCTGCCAACCTAGCAGTTTGAAAGCACGTCAAAGTGCAAGTAGATAAATAGGTACCGCTCCGGCGGAAAGGTAAATGGCATTTCCGTGCGCTCCTCTGGTTCACCAGAAGCGTTTTAGTCATGCTGGCCACATGACCCAGAAGCTGTAAGTCGGCTCCCTTGGCCAATAAAGCGAGATGAGCGCCACAACCCCAGAGTCGGTCACGACTGGACCTAATGGTCAGGGGTCCCTTTACCTTTACCTAAGGCTCTTGGTTACAACAGACAAACGTGGTTACCCCTCTTAATTTGTTAGTATTGAATATTCTACCATCAAGATTCGTGTATCTGAAGAATATCTTTTTCTTTTTCTATTAGAGTTCAAAATGTCGCACAGTGTTTTCTTCAGCCCAGAAGATTGAAGGTTTTAAGCGCCTAGATCGCCAGATTGCTCAGTTTAATGACTACAACTTCGTGTTTACCAGTTTTGCCAAGAATAAACAGCAGAGTTGATTAAGAGAAATGAAGAAAAAGCGCAAAAAGATACCCAATAGAGGAGGTGGTGGTTGCTTTCTAGTTAATGATACAAGGGGCCATATTTTTCATATCCACCTCGTAGTTGCAGAAAGCCCTAAATGTAATCATAGTATAATTTTCAATTGTATGCATTATTATATCAAAAAAATAGATATATTGCATGAATACTCTCTACTGTGTTTAGGTATTCTATTTCACTTTTGCTGTGAAATTGAAATGCATGTAGAAAAATGTCACTGTATGAGACTCTACAGCATTTGTAAAAATTCCAATAGGATTACATGCAGTATAGTTTTTCTCAACGTATCACCAAAAATTCCCCACAGACAAGGATTTCGTCCTCATTAGGATTTCCCATGGACCTACTTATCTGAAACAATTAGTTGTTGCCTAACTTTTTTCATATGTATGCTGTAACTTAAAATTTTAAAAATAATCTTGAATTTGAGCAATTTCTAATTGACATTTATTTTGTAACTCTTTGATGGCAGATTCAAACTTTTTGCAGTTTTGAAATATTGAGACTGGTAGAACAAGACTACTTACACATGGTGGACTACTTCACTTTTTAAAATTTGAGGCTAGTATAAAAAATTATCACTAGGTCTGTGTATATTTTCACAACCAGTTGAAACAATATACTGGGGTTTAACGCACTAGCTTTTTACTTCTGGAAACTTAATTGCTCATTGGTCATTTTATTTTGATCAACTTTTTTCAGTTTCGGCCAAGACCATTTCTGTTCTGTGTTGGTCTTTTGTTCAAAGGCAACACATAGCAACTGGTGAAAATTGTTGAACATCCGTGTAAGGGTACTTACACAATTGTGACAATATAGACTAAGCTGACTCTAGGCATTTGACAAGCTTCAAATAGTTGCAGCGTTGAGGAATCTAATTGGTTTGGAGCTTGGTACTTACTGGTAACTTGGCAGGGACATCTAATGGAATGTGATTCAAACTACTGCACAAAATGGTTAGTTACCATTTACTGTGAAATAAGGTGGCTCTATTGTTGCATATTCAAACACCACAAATCCTTCCACACTGTGACTGACGTCCTGTGACAGCATTGTGCATGTTATATTTAAGCTGAACTTAATAATATTGTGACTTCATCTGTGTTTCTTAATTAACGTGTGGTTCCTTTTTACAAGATGTGGAAGGCACTGAGTGATTTGGCTGCAGGAGGCAAAATATGAGGAGCCTAGACAGTCAAGTACAACACTTTATGCACAACTTTTAATAACAATTTAGGCATGGAAATACCACTTCAAGCTTCTGAGACAGTATATTCAAGTAACCTTGGAAATACTGTGGGATTTCAGCTGTTGAGACCAGGAAGTCTGTTACAAATTTGACACTCATCTTTGCTATGTTTTTGATTCTCTGAATATGACAATATTTTGTTCCTTCTGTATTTATAAATGAAACACTTTTTTAGTGTTTCTAGGCTACTAAATCTGCTTGGTTGGATATCAAGCAGTTGAACACCTTTTTATTTTTAAGTAGATTTGTTTTCTACCAAAATTACCAATTTTGCTTATAAGTAGCACCTAACAGTTTAGGGTGCTTTAGATTTTGAGGACCAATTTTTCAAATGGTTTTTGTTCTTGAAAGAGTGCCTCAAGTTGACTTGAGGTCTGCTAGACAGAAGTTCCCTTCAATAATACTGAAAATGCAGATTCAGGTAAAAAGCCTTGGATAGAAAGAAAGCAGCTGAATTGGGTATTTTTAAACACTAGGGCGAACAATGGAGGGGGTGATGTTTGGTGTTAAATCTTCTCTCTTGTGGTGTTAGACATGGATCATTAAAATGTACAAAAATATATCTGTACCTGAAATTGTAATGCTTCAATAAAAGTTTGCTTTCTAAGCTCTTTCAATGAGTGAATGTTGTTTACCCTGACTTAGATAATTCTATTTTGAATTCATACATGGCAACTTCAAACCTTGACCTGGTTAAGTTCTTGTCTACCTCCAGACAGCCCCTTGTATGTTAATAACTGATGGGGAATCAAATGTCAGGGTGACCCAGGAGGTTTAAGCCTATTGGAAGCACTAATCCTGCTAATCAACTACCTGTCTGTACTATTTTTAATCAATGCAAAGGGCAGACTATTAATGTAATCTTGTTTTTAGAATGAAGGCACTACTTAAATAGCAGCTGTGTATAGTCCCAAGTACAATTGAATGTGTGCGATTATATTCTTACAGAACACTCTGCCATTGTTTATAATCTATCATGAGCAGCTCCCCTAAAACGGGACAAAAGTCAATACCTTTACTTCTGGCTTTCAATAGAAAAGAGAAGTTTGATAGATCATGGTGATAGGGAGGGGAGATTCTAGGGTGGCTGAAGTAGGCACTGAGCAGTGTTTAAAATTTATTTTAGCAATGTTGCTTTTAAATGATTACTATGGTTAGTTTGCCTACAACAAAGTTGGAATTGCCACTACTTTTTACATTTTAAATCCCTCTGCCCTAATCTTGCCATCGTCTACACATGTATGTGTGCCTGCATCTGAGGCTACCACTTCATGTATCTTAAGTGGTTTCTGGTCCACAAAGATCTTAACAAAACTGTTATTGTATTTCTTTAAGGTACCTCAATGCTTTGTTGCAATTTGATCCAATTATAGGTAGTGCTCTGATAATGAGAGGAGTGGACATACAGAGGAAGTGGTAAATGCAGTGGATGACCGACTAAAAGGTGTGAAAAGCTAGTGTGTAGTGGTTAGTGTGTCCGACTAAAACCTGGGAAACCAGGATTCAAATTCCCACTTGGCCATGAAGCTCACTGGGTGACCTTGGGCCAGTCACTACCTCTGCTTAACTTACATCCCAGGGTGGTTGTGGGGATTAAATAAGGGGGACAACCATGTACCCATGTACACGAACTTGAGTTCATCTGAGAAAAAAGGTGGGTTATAAATGCAATAAATAATAAGACTGAATCATTGCTGGCAGGCAACAGAAAAAAGCAAATTTAAAATTATAGATGGTAAGCACTTATTTTGAAACTTGTTGCTGTTGGACATAGATAATAGAGACCAACATCTTGGAGATATTGCTAACCTGTTGTGGAGTAGCACTTAAGAATCCATAACAGTAATGGTGTTTATATCAATACCCTTACATTGTTGTGTACACAAGTTGTCTTTTAACACCCTATACAGGTAACATTAAGTGTATAATACTTAATGGCTTTGCCACTACTGGTAACACTCTTGACTAAATCAAAATGAGATTGCTTAATATCAAATATGCATTAATAAAATAACATCAACTTTTATTCTCTTATTTCTTGTGTTAATTCTCCACTTCAAGTATGTATCTCATCACAAATAAATGAATAACCAGCTTTATTATTATTATGAATGTAACACCCCATACCAGCCTTGGTTTGATTTGGTTTGGTTTTTGTGTGTTTCATGAAGTTGAGCTAGTACAGTACTGAAATCTCAGCTGCTAATTACTCTCTTGTCTTCACCAAGGAAACAGTATTAAATTATTTCCCTGCTTGTGTAAAACTTAAGAGATTAATTTACCTGTGTGCTGCTAAAATTCGTCTTGAAGCAAGATAGTGTAATTAAAATACATAGTTTAGTAGGGGGGTGCAGGTTTTCAGAGCATTATTTATACAGTATATGGCTTACATCAAGATAAAAGGGAGAGTGCATCTGAGATCATGCAGAGTTTATCAAAAGAGAAGGTGAAACTGCAATGTTACAATTAGAAGAATTAGTTTGACGGATGACTGGCTTGTGTTCCCAGCAGCTGCTATTTTAAAAAGCAGCCTACTGACCTTAATACTTGATGACCTGGTGCGAAAAATAAAGAACAAGAGAGCTCCTCTTAAAACGCCTATTTTAGTTCTAAAATACGCAGCTAACATTAAGGTTTTGTCCGTTTCCTTTGGATGTACGTCTTGTTATTTCTATTACTATGGCACAGTGGGCGGCTTAATTTTTACACCGTGCTTTGCAGTTTTATACGCAAAGCGGAATATAAATACTTTAAATTTAAAAATGTATCCGGGACGAAAGATTGGCCAGTGAAGAGAACAGTCGTTAACAGAGAGGACTTCGCTAAACAGCAGGAAAGCCGCGAAATGAACCACATTTATGTTAAAAGGGCGGAAGATACAAGCGAGCATTTTCCCCCGCTCCCCGCCAAAGTTCTCTATAGGTCAGGATATATATATATCCCCACACGCTTGGTCGGGTCATTAGACTGCCTGAACTGTACCTGTCTCCCCCTCGGCTGCTTCTGAGCAGAAGCCGCCGCCCCAAGCCTGCGAACTGCGCGGCTCTCCCGTCCCTGCCCAGAGTCCTCCTTGCAGCAACCAGAGGCGCTGCTCTTGCCGAAAGGGTCCTGCGTAAGATGGCGGCGGCGGCGGCGGCGGCGGCAGGGGGATCACGTGACACTCGTTGAGGCACTACCGGCATGGAGGCCGCGGAAGGACCTCGCGACTGGGAAGAGGTGGAGGTGGAGGTGGGTGGCAGGAATGGGCTCTCCCCCCACCCCGCGGGGCTTGCTCCGCAGCTCACCTCGCGACGAGGCTGCCGGCTGCCCTCCCGCTACGGGGTCTGAGCAGGGAAAGCGGCCTGCCAGTGGTTCAGCCTGGGCCTTTCTTTGTGGCGCCGAGAGCCGTGGGAGCAGCGTCGCGGGTTCGTTGGGAGTCCCGGGCTGACGCCTACGGATGGGTGATGGGGATTGCGCTTCCTCAGGGCAACCTGATACACACGCATATTTACATGGAAATAAGTTCTGCTGAGCTCGGTCGGACTCGATTCCTGGCATTAGTCTTCTCATCGCCAGCATTTAATGCCATGACTCACCTCTCCATCCGTTGCGAAGTGAAACTAGAGCAGCCATCCCCAACCTGCGGCCCTCCAGATGTTTTGGCCTACAACTCCCATGATCCCTAGCTAACAGGACCAGTGGTCAGGGATGATGGGAATTGTAGTCCAAAAAAATATGGAGAGCCGAACGTTGGGGATGCCTGAACTAGAGAGTCTTGGAGCACCATTCTCTGTAGTGAAATAGGTGCAACACTTGGATCTCCTAATATTCAAAAGCCTTCTGCCTCCCCTGGTCCATATCCAGTATCACTGAAATGATTACTTCATGGTATAAAAGAATACATGTATATCTTATACATGCTGTCAGGTTATATTGGTCCATGTGCAGAGTGCCAGCCGCTGCTGAACTACAACTCCCATTATCCATCCCAATGGCAATGATGCCTGGGGTTGATGGAAGTTGCGAGTCTGGAAGGTCACATGCTCCCGTCCTGATCCGGCAGAATACAGTCTGTCTACCTCCCTGAAGTCCATGTTCCCCTCCATCTCAGACTAATATTTCCCGGCTCCATAACTTTTGAGAGGCGGCTTTGAACTTGGCCCTTCAACGGGCAAAGCATGTGTTGTACACCTGGAATATAGCCCCAAAGGAAAGGCGAAAAACATGCCCTTTTATTACTTTGATAATAAACATTAATGAATTTCAGCAGGCATTTTACTACTGGATATTGTGTTGAACATGGCTCTGTTCCGCAGAAGTTACTCTGGGCCAGCAGTGACAGTAACTACAGCTGCATCTTCCATCAGTAGTTTTCATGCTGTCTCCCTAAGGATGGTTGAAACATTGTATGTAAATGGTTAAGGAGTAGAGTGTACAGTACCTACTTTCCAACTGTATATAGCTCCTGCATACTCCCCTACTTGGTGCTGGAACAAAATGTGGGAGTGCTAGTACTTTTTATGTCAGCCTATGAAAAAAGCAGAAAGAGGCAGCATTAGTTTACTCTGGGTTGAAATGGCAGTGCAGAATGTACAATAGTGAAGTGCTTTACTGCTGGAATTAAGTGGGAGTAAACTGCTGGTGTTTGAAAATATACGGTAAATGTGAATGCATCTTATGTTTCTTTTACTATAACTCAGAAGAGCAGAATTGCTTTTGTCTACCTCTTGCATATGTTGGTGCATATTTATTAGTAACAGTTCTAGTGGGCACTACTTAGGAATACAGAATCAGAAGTTGATACTTACTCTAAACTGATTTGTTATGATTTTGTTTCCATGTCCTAAGTTGGTGAGAGCAGTGAAACATTTTGAAAAGCCATTAAGTAAAGGCAACAGATTTATTTATTTTTTAATGAAACAAATATAAGACTTGAAATAGTCAGCTGCAGCTGCAAATGGGCACTGGAGAAAGATGCACATCACTTTCATTGCATTAGAGCAAAACTAACTAATGTGAGATATCCAACCTACTGAAACTTGGAGGGGAGAAGAAGGTGTGGATGTCTTGTTCTCCCATAACATCACAAGCTTGGTCGAAAATATAAATGCATGCAATTTCAACATAGAGGTTGATGGTTGGGTAGATGTGTTTGTATATGTGCTCCTGCAAAGTGGTTGTATAGCAGTAATATATTTGCAGATGGGCTCCATCTGCTGGACTGAAAGGGAGATTGAGTTTATGAATACATTGTTTTAAATATATTTAAAAAACTTTCTGCCCCCAGGAACAATTGGTCATGGTGGAATTGTCGGGAATAATTGATTCAGACTTTCTGGAAAAATGTGATAACAAGTGCAAGATTTTGGTGAGTGTGATTAATACAAATTCTTGGGCAAAAAAAATGAGAGGCACAAATACAAGATGGGGGACACCTGGCTTGAGAGCAGTACATGTGAAAAGGATCTAGGAGTCTTGGTTGACCACAAACTTGACATGAGCCAACAGTGTGACGCGGCAGCTAAAAAAGCCAATGCAATTCTGGGCTGCATCAATAGGAGTATAGCATCTAGATCAAGGGAAGTAATAGTGCCACTGTATTCTGCTCTGGTCAGACCTCACCTGGAGTACTGTATCCAGTTCTGGGCACCACAGTTCAAGAAGGACACTGACAAACTGGAACGTGTCCAGAAGAGGGCAACCAAAATGGTCAAAGGCCTGGAAACGATGCCTTATGAGGAACGGCTAAGGGAGCTGGGCATGTTTAGCCTGGAGAAGAGGAGGTTAAGGGGTGATATGATAGCCATGTTCAAATATATAAAGGGATGTCACATAGAGGAGGGAGAAAGGTTGTTTTCTGCTGCTCCAGAGAAGCGGACACGGAGCAATGGATCCAAACTACAAGAAAGAAGATTCCACCTAAACATTAGGAAGAACTTCCTGACAGTAAGAGCTGTTTGACAGTGGAATTTGCTGCCAAGGAGTGTGGTGGAGTCTCCTTCTTTGGAGGTCTTTAAGCAGAGGCTTGACAACCATACGTCAGGAGTGCTCTGATGGTGTTTCCTGCTTGGCAGGGGGTTGGACTCGATGGCCCTTGTGGTCTCTTCCAACTCTATGATTCTATGATTCTATGAAATTTCCATCTTTGCAGTTTTTGTTAAGAACAACAAACCTCTATTCAGAACCTACAAAAGTCAATATAGGTGTTTTGCTTACTATAGTCTGGTTTGCGGTTGTTGTGGGGGGGAAGTACTGTCATGTATGAAGAATGTGCATATCTTCGTTTTGTTGTGTGCACACGAAGTGGGAAGTTCTGATCAGCTTAGGGTACATAAACACTGTCAAAATAGAGACTGTGTGCTCTTTGTGAATGACAATGATATCTGTAACCTTTCATAAGCGTTACAGACTTCAGCAATTTAGGCTGCGCTTTGAGTCAAAATTACTTGGGAGGTATTTGCATTTAATGATCTTTTTGTTAATTGCAGCCGTGACTCTTCTTTTTATTATTTGCAGGGAGTAGACACAGAGAGGCCCATTTTGCAAGTAGACAGATATGTTTTTGCTGGAGAATATGAAGGTAAGAAAATGTTTTATTAATACTATACTTCTTTTCATAAGCCAGGATCCAATGCACAATAAAACTAGTCATGTGAGCCAAGGCAGAATTATTTTTTATTAGTAGTATACCTTTGCTGTTTTTCCACACAGAGAAAAAGCAAATAAATTTAGGCTGATATCCAGTTCAAGTGTCCTGCTTGCACAATGAACTTCAACTTGCACAAATGGAAATTATCCTTCCTCCTGCAGCCCCTCCCCCCACGCACCCAAAATCTGCTTAGGGTTGGGGATGCAAGGAAGCAGGGGAGGGGCACAGCGGGGAGATGAGGTAGGGGAAGTCCTGTTGCATCTGCTGACATAGTGTTGGATCTCACCCATAAATTCTCAAATAACATCACAGTAAAAACACCTAAATACAACATAGGAGATGTTAACATTAACTAAAAGCAGACAACAATTTTCACATCCAAGTTTTAGCTACCATATCTGTTTGCAAATTGCTTTTGAGATTGAGGGGAGTTTTGAGAAGTTTGTAATATGGCATTGGTGTAAACTGATTAAATAAGAAAAAAGGAAGCAAGCAAACAAAAGTCCCCTTGTATGAACTAATCAGCTCTTCTGGCCCTAACTTTTCATACACTTATCTTCTAAATCTATTGCTTAACGAGAGTAGATATCGCTCTTTTGAGTGTTATTCATTTAAAAAGTTACCTGCACTTTCCTTAACAAAATGTTCATTTTCATTCCCAGATACTCTTGGTACTTGTTTGGTGTTTCAAGAAAATGAAGATCATGGTAAGGAAGACTTGTTCTAAGCTTTTCAAAAGCTCAAGAGAACTTTAGGCAGGGGGAACATTGCAAAGAGTAAAGTTAACACTTAAAAATAATCTGTAATTTTTCCTTATACTAGATGCAGAAGGCAACCAAAAAATACAGCTAAAATATAAATGCCACACAATGAAGAAGCTGAACATGACACGGACACTCCTGACTGAGAAGAAGGAAGGAGAAGAGAACATAGGTGGTTCTGAGAAAATTGCTGTTGCTTTCTATAGTTCCCCTTCTAGAAATCCCATTTTGCATGCTCACCAGATTTCTACATGTCATGCATTGCTTCACCCCCCCCCCCTTGCACAGTTCCTGTATATTGCTTCACTTCTTTCTAACCTCCCTTGTTCATAAACATACCCTCTCTTGGCACCACTTCTACTCCACTTGGAAGTAACTGAGCCTACAAGGAGTTGTGGTTCTGGTACTTTGTTTTAGTAATCCCAGTTAAATCCTGGCCCTGACTTGGTAACATACCAGGCCTGTTTATAAGTTTGCTATCAATAATATGTGCAAAACTCCTTATGTCCCCATCTCCCTCAGCTGGTATTCTTATGGCGTATATGAATGTATTCCTTAACTACTGCTACATGATTAACCCTAAAACTTCCTATTGATGGTGATTATATGCAACCATTAACATAGATTGCGCTTTAAAGAATGACATTCATTCTTTTCCTCTGAAGAACTTACCATCTAAATCAAGGCACTGACAAAGAAAGGGGAAGGGACCAAAGGAAAAGGAGAGAGAAAGAATAGATGTGACTAGTGAATTTAATACTACTGTAGTTTAAAAAGTTTAAAAATCCTGTCCCCAACTCATCTTCTTCCTGATTTCTCTCTCTCTCTCTCTCTGTCAGGTGGTGGTGTGGAATGGCTAGAGCTTAAGGACAAAGATTTCTCATACAGCAGACCTAACATGATTTGCAACTTCTTATATGAGAAAGAAGAAGACGCAGCTGAGTCCCAAGACAAAATGGCAGAAGAATCTGAAGGAGAAGCCAGTGACAGAGGAAGTATTGATCAGGCCTTTGAACCTGAGATGCATCCACACATTGAAAGGGATGGTGGTGCCCCTCCTATGGATGCCACCTCCTCCAAGGCAGTGGACTCTTCTTCAGAGGACAGTCAGGTTATTACTGCAGATAATTCTCCACGTTGCTCTAAAAACTGTAGTTGAGAGATGACAATTAACGGACCTTCTTATTGTTGTATACCGTTGTTTTAGAGAACTCTTTATGACCGATGGTTTGTTTACATCACATATGGGAGAACTGGA